TGCATCACAACCTTTCAACTGGCTCAGACGAGGATTTGGAACATCCAACCGAGAGGAAGCTGTCTTCTACTTGTGAACAAACGCTTTTGGAAAATTTTAATATTAAATAATAACAAATAAAAGATAAATTAAATGAAGAAAAGCTCAAATTAAATTGAAAAATTGAAAATTTTTCAGAAATTTTGAAATTTGAGAAATTGGTCTCGACGCGATCAACATTTCGGATTTTTTTCAAATGGGTTGAGGCAAGGTGGCCTCGGAACAAAACCAGAAAATTTTATTAAAAAAATACAAATGAATTGGTCAAAACCTCTATTTTCCTCCTGAAGAAAACAGAGTTTCTCCTAATCCACAGCCCTGTGTCTCATCTCTCCAAACTCATGGGCAGAAACTGGGTCTGACACTGATAAATCCTGAACAAAAACCAACATGAAAACAAACGAAACATCAGATTTTAGACAGTTCAACGGACTATGAAAACATCCGCTGCAACCAACACCCCATCGAAATCTTTATTAACGTTTTTTTTCTACCAAGGGAACTTCTGAAATCGGGATGCTTTAGAGAGAAAGAGCTGTACCCTGAGCTGATAGTGTAGTGCGTGAACATCCACGAACAGATTTCATCAGAATGCCTTCCCTCCCGCAACACATTACAAGTATTTATTCACTCCAAACCTTCTTGTTGTGTAAAAGTAGAATCGCAACCTCCACCATCCAGTCCTCATCGTATAAGGCAACCCCAGCTCTTTCTCTCAACAAATCCGACTTCTATAATCATCGACTAACCTCTTAGATCATCCAGAAGGAGTTTCACAATGTTGAACTGTTTCATCTCCTCAAACAGGCTATCAGAAGAATCTGACCAAGCCTGGAAGAATCTAATACCAAGACTATGCCCTGAACTTTGGCTTTCGAATCTGCAAGCTATATTCAAGGACACAGTGGGAAGTTCCTGAAAAAGTAGATTTTCAAAAAACGAGTAAGTGTGCTTACTTTGGTCATTCCGCATAGATGTCAACTGCGCGGACGATGCCTCACAAGCATTTAAGGTTCATCTCATTCAACCAGACCAAAGATGAAATTATCACACTAAGGGTAAACGGTTGGTACGAGATAACTATATAAGGAAACAGCAAAGCATCTGAAAAGTGTCGTGTATGAAGTGAGTAGGAAACGCAAGACTAATTTTGAATCTCGAGAAGTAGAGAACTAACTATAAATGGCAGTACTCAGTCACATGGACTTCTCCTTCTCTGTGTCTGTACCTCTTATGAGGGTCTATCTAGGTATTGTCGTTTGTGAATCTGTGCAAAGTGAGAGTATAGAAATTTCTAACATAGGAGTTAAATACCTTCAAACGAATAATAGCATTCAACTTCCATCGACTTGCTAGTTCTTGTTTCCTTAAGAATGAGACTGTCCTACAGGTCACGATGTGAACTCAGTGAAACGATTATTCTGCAAATGAAATGAATGAGTAGCAATCAGTAGTAGGACTCCTACCATTCCTATTTATGTTCGCCAACTATATTTCGAAAGTCTCGAACATGCTGCTTCTGAAGACGCGAGAGCACTAACGTTATTCGTAAAAACAGATATGCCCAGAAATATAAGGACCCTTACTCGAGACGACTGTCAGAAAACTGAAAAGCACAATACAAAGTATGAAAACAAGAATATCTTACCAATTCTTGCAGAATATAATTTCTTAGCTCTGAACATCAGTCGACATGACACTTCTGTACAGTCGAGGCATCATCGTGGCAATACCTATAATAACTGAATAAAAACCGGAAAAAGTAAAAAACAAATAACAAAATAGAAATTTGCATAATCAAATTAGTTTCGAAAACAATTGAGGTGTCACTAAAAGTTTCGTGCAACTACAGTAACCTATGTAAGATCACGTATATCAGTTATGATTAGAGCGCTGCGTTTACATCCTGATTGACATTGGGACAAGCTTGTCTAACTGTTAATGCTGAGTTCAGCATAAAGAGAATTCTATACAGCTTCTGTGACTTCTAAATGTTTTTCTTCTTACATCCACCATCTTCCGAATACAGTGCCAGAAAACATAACGAAAATCCAAAAACTGAGATCTTGGAACCAGTGGCTACCAATCAAAAAGAAATTTCATCTCCGGACGTCATTAGAGAAAACCGTTCCTGAGAACTAGCTGGAAACCTTTGAAAATCACTTTTTCTCTTAGAAAAGCTGCCACTCGAAATCTTACTTCATTTCTTTTTCTTTCTTTCTCTCTTACTCTCTTTATCTGTATATCTAACAGATTGTCTCTTATACTCATTCTGTCTTTCTTTCTTTTGTCGAGAAACGAGAAATTGTCTTTCAATCTGTTTTTCCACTGTTTTGTTTCTTCCTTCTTTTCAAAAATTTTTCTCCACATGATATAGTTTAGAACCAAATCTGAATAAAACTTAAATTCATATGATATATTTTAAAAACTTGAAATTTAAAATTTTTTTTGACACCTGTACAAGTGCTGTGTACGAGTGCTGGGTATCCGCTGTGTAATTGTTCCTCCGTGTACATGTAGAAAGTCCGATATTCTCCCGATGTTCACGTATGTTTCTTGTTGTAGTCAATGTTATATCAAGAGGTTCGAAAAAAATAGCTTTTATTGATTTTCTCAATTTTATCATTTGAGTTCTAAGTTGACAGTTCTTGATGGGAATGATGTCTGTTAGTGGAGAATTGGTTGTTGTTCGAACGACGAACCATAGTTGAAGGTTCTTTCCTGGCCGGAGCTGGTTTTGAGTGTCTAAGCATATTGCATAGACGCCACACAGTTTCGGTAATATTAAATACCTACTGGAATATCTCTCATGTTCAATGATATGAAAGACCATTTGTGAGGCAACAGTTTTGGTATTTCCAGAGTATAGTCCGAGAGTTTCAAATATACCCAATCATTATAGCATGAAATCTGATGGATTGTATAAAAGGTTAAAACTTTATTGTTTTTACAGGGTGTTCACTGAGAATCATTTGTCATGTTCAGATATGTTTGAAAGTTTGAGGAGATACAACAGGCGAGATTAATAAGTTACCAAAATTGATAGATATCATAAGTATATATTCGTTTAAGTTCAAAGTACTGTACAAGAAACAATATAGGCTCATGCAAAAGAAAAATGACTTTGAAAAGAGGAGTTTGTTCAAGTTTTCACAATCTCTCCGACCGAACAATATTCTTGATTCCGCTCTCTCCTACGAGTCGAGCTACCCATATCACAGCATGGCTCACTGTTACTAGGATTAAGTACATCCAGATGCCGAATATAAACCCAATCATACGATGGGCAGAAAAGGATCTGAAAATGATTTTTGAACATATTGTGGTATTGCAAAGAAATACCGAGTAAGGTTCTCCTGTGCCCAATTCAACTTGAATCTTCACTTGCCGTTTTGTAGGATGTGCGTATACCTGAATGCGAACAATCAGTTCAGAATCATTATCATTCAACTCACATCCCATTCATTTATCGCAGCATTTATGTGATGACTCTTCCATCGTATTCCAGTTGGCTCAACGATGACATGTTCTAACATATCATTTATGGAGCCTCTGCGAAGTACAACTCGATCTTCTTCGAAGGTGCGATCGCTATGTCCATGTCGTTCCATGACATTAGGCATCTTACTACAATCAAAGCTAAAACAAGGTATGTGTTTCATTTCTTATACGCCAATCTAACCCTATGCTATACATTCCATTGTCTCGTCGACACCTTGTCTCAATTAGTTTGTTAGATTTATAATTATATTTAGAGATCTCATTTCTTGGCCGTATGATTTCAACCTAGGATTCCAGAGTTAAGAAGTTGGACTACGTTACGCCTTACCTCATCTTGGAAACATCGAATCTTAACGTCAATACCATGTAGCGTTACTAATAGCCTTGTATGACCATAGTAATATATTTCCAAAGGCCCATATATGAAACGGCAATCAGAGTTAGAATACTGATAGAGCTTAGCTCCACACATTCGACCATTAACATGGCGCAAGTCAAACACTCCGACTTCGTTAATAACTGAAGGAACTCTATATTTTGGAAGGACTTGAAGATACTTACGATCTGTGGTCGGTTCTCTACAACAATATGTATAGCAAATTCCCTTTTTCGGTAAATTCACAGTGTTTTTAAGGATCTGAAAGAAATCGAATGAGTTCGTAGAGAAAGAGTTATTTCTTACCCATTTCTTGGCTTCCCTAAAGCTGTTAGTACTTGAGTTGGGTGAGAAAGTATCTTCAGGTAAATATACAGTAGTGTCAGTAGTATCATTGAAATGAACCTTAAACTGCAGGATACAACAAGGAAGGCTAAGTCAGTCACAAACCTGACGACGAGAAACTGGCTTGATTATAGGATCTGCTCTTTGAATGGCTGCAACGTCAGACGAGTCCATTTTCGAACGTGGGGTTAGTCCATTTCTCTTAGTAGTTTTAGTTAAAGCATTCAATTCGGATGTTAGTCGATTGATGATGGCATCTTTGTTTTTCAAAGTGCTGTTCATTCTTTTCTGAAACATAATCGGATTGAGATTGGAATTCTAGTCTAAGCCAACTTCTTTTTGTTTGACAATGTTGTCCAATCGCTCATTCGATTTTTTGAGTTTCTCGATCTCGGCTTTCAGCTCTGAAAGTGATTGTCAGACATATCCTCTAACACATGACTACCTTTGATCAGATTTTCCTTCTCCGTCAGTTTCGTCCTTATTTCTGCTTTGCTTATAGAAGCCTTATGGATTGCATCCTTTGCTTCTGTTTGCTGCAAAGCGAGATAATGAGTACATGGAAATATGCTCGAGGAACTAACGTTATTAGTGATATCCTGGTTAATGAGCTTTTCTCTCTTTATCAGCGCCTCCCTGTCTTTACGAATTTGATTCATACTTCTTAGGGCCTCAAGTCGATGCTTTTCTTTCTCTTCTTCGAAGAACTCCCTCTCCTTCCTCATCTTAGCAGCAGCTTCATCCAGTTCATTTATGTATTCGCTCATCTATAACTCATCAAGTGAAAGCTTCTTTGATAACGAAATACCTTCTGCGATTGCTTCTGCATGTTTTGCCGGGCTATATCAGTGTGAATGATGGCATCTCGAAGTTGCTTCTCGAGGATATATCGTATCCTTTCCTCTCGAGGTTTGGTTCTACCTTGATGCTCTCGCATGCTGCAAAATGATAATGAATACAGTTCCTTAGTGAACTCTTCATACTATGGTGTCGCTGGCTCAGCTTCGACAGATGAAATCACAGAGATCGGAGAGTCATTTGGCTGAAAATATCAAAATCAATGTCCCTCATATTACTGTCAACTAACTATTTCATTCCTATGATTGTTCTTGTTTTTATTAATTTTGAGAGCACGTACTCTCTCACTAACAGACGTGATGTCAGATGATGAATAATCATCTAAATTATCTGTTTGTATTGCCACAGGAAACCTTGTAGATTCTGATGGTCTTATCTTATCTCTCGTAGGACGCTAAAGAAGAAGTTATACATATAATTGGCTTGACAAACAAATCAACCTTCTGTGTTTCCATCAAATTAGGTGGAAAAGCAACATGTAGAGGCTTGTCTCTAGCAGCTAAAAATGAGTTTTGAAATTGTAACTTCTAGCTGAGACTTACCAACAAACTTCCGGATATCTCCCGTAGATCCACTACTTGCCGTTGAAGGACGTTGCACATCGATAGTTGGAGAAGGAACACCACTCGACGATCTGTCGGAATTCATAAACTGAAAATCCAATAAGTATCATGGTGTATAGGATGCATTTACGTTTCTATCTTGGAAAATTGGAGTATCTCTCTGAACTCCTGAGTGTTGAGGTAGAGGACGACTGAGTTGAGAAGAGAAAGAGGACAGTGTGCTCGCCTTATCCGAAAGGTTCGTTACAGACTTCAAATGATTGAGTTAAACTTAGAAAAATTAAATTAAACTTACATCTCGATCGCATGGAACGTTTCTTTCAATCTGGGCTCTAATGTTACGAGAACGTGGACTTACTGACCGAGCATCATCAACATCAAGCTCTTTCTGTATGAACGATTCTGTATCATTACGAAAATCGTGTTCTGAAAGTAATCGATGTCATTCTATTCAAATTCAAAAGTTGCGCTTACGTGCTACTGATTGATCTTCTGTGGCAACGTCATCATCTAATTCGATTGGCACGACAGAAACAACTGTCTTTTCTAGATGAATACTATTAAGTCGTTCATTACGAAGTACATACCGTGAATTGTTCCCTGTACGGGCTCAAGTGTAATCTCTGCCTCCTCTGCTATTCTGCTGGCAACAGTTACTTCAGACTCTTGTGCTTCACTGCGATTTGGTGATACGGCATCTATACGATGTTATTTTGACCTCATGTATACAGTTCATTGACATACCGAATTCCGAGTATCCACTATCAGGACGATTGTGAGCTTTATAAACTCCTGGGGGTGTGTTTCCACTTCCTCTGCCACTGTCTAAGTCGCTTCGCTTGGGCATGTCGATTTGAACAGGGGATGAGATGTTTCTTTGAGAATACTGTTGTTGAGCAGATATGCTTTCCACGTCATCTTCTATCGTATGTGGCTCAACATCTATTGGTTGTCGGAACACATTGTCAGATAAGACAGAGGATGCTATGAGAAAGAGATAAACAAGAGAACAAAGAAGTGAATGTTACTTTCTGAATTTCTCACAGGCTGAGGCGGTCTGGACAGAGGTTCTGCTGCGCCTGCACTCTTTCTTTTGATATAGCTAATTTTCTATAAACAAACAAGAATTTTACATAATATTATTGAGTTGTGAAGATCGTACTTTATCAAATAGTTGTGATCCGGATCCCTTCCGAAGAAACCTGAATGCAGGCCGAGCCGATTGCACAGCGGGGTGTTGTCCCTTCTCAGCCATCAACACGTTTTTATCGATGTGTCTGATTGTATCAAAAATAAAAATTTGTAAATGTTATTGAAATTTTAAAACAGGGGAAGACGTAGAACAAGCGAGTAGAAGCGTTTTCGTATAAAAAAGAACGCGGGAAAGGGTTACGTAATGTATTAGGTCACCCTGGCAGAAGCCAAACAAAGCGTTAATGACAGGTTGTTCAGAATGAGATCTTAGAGTAACATGATTTAAATAAATAAGGAGATCAATAATAAGTTAAAAAGTATCATTTCAATGAATGGCAACAGATCTTAGAAATCAGCGAAGGTCAGGGGTGGGGGATAAACGTTTTGAATGGTATAAATTACGAGGACGCGCCGTCCGTCACACATGCCTACACTTGCCTCCTCCCCCTTCTCTTCTTGTCCAACACTTCACAAAAGAAAGATTAGATCGAAGACATCGATCGATTTACCAAAATGAGAGAATTGGTTTTAAACACATGTTGTTTATAATGAATAATTAAAGTGATGAGTACGGTCACGAAGTATGAACAGCTACAGACTGCAATCCTGGAAATTAGAGAAGAAACCATGAATGACAGGATAGTAGATAACTTTATTAAACAATGTAACAATAAAAATAACAAATTATCACTTTGTGAATCTCCTAATCATTCATATTTCTTTCTATTTTACTTAATATGGCTTCCATTTGTGATCCTAAGTTAGGTTGGCCTTTCTTATTGTGTTTCTTGATTGCCTGAAAGAGAACAAACTTTGAAAGAGATATGGTTCTGGTTGATAATTCTAGTTTGAGTGTACTGCTCTGGAAGAACGCTTCAAGCCCAAGTTTTCCGTTTGACGCAAGTTAAGAGTTACGAAACCTTTAGTCTAGTCCTTTCAGTTCAGTTCAAACATATTTTCTCTTTGAATTTTCAAACTATTACTCTGTTCATCTTCTTCTTCTGTGTTTGAGTCTTCTCTCTAGCAGCCTGTTTGAGTTCGCGAGCTTTCATTTTCTGAAAATGCTGAGGTTTGAAGTATAAAGACTGATAATCACCTCTTCTCTCTGTACCCTCCTGTCTTCTTGTATTTGATCGTAAACCATTTTGGCTTTCTTATAGTTATCCATCTTACTGTGTTTGAATGACTTCTTCTCTCTGAAATGAACGATAGCAAATGAAGTCTTCAGCTTCTACAACTTACACTTTACCCGACTCATCCACCTTGTTCTCATGCTGCTTGTTTTCATTTCGCTTGTTAACACGTTTGTTCACGTCATCACGCGCCATTTTGAATTTTGAAGCCACGCTGATATGCTAATTAGATTGAGGATAGGAAAGCGCGGTAAGGGTAAAGTGCACCGAAATGTTACGTATTTCACGTACGTTTAAAATCAGTTAGCAACCTATTACTTTCCCACGGTTATTAAGAACAGAAAGAAGTAATGAGCAGCTGACTTTGATTATACGTTGGATAATCACAAGAAGTCGTCCCTTCCTATAATGAGCGTACGTGTTGCAGGATGCAACGTATCTTTGCGTACTGTTTTTTAAAGACTTTTTTTCTCAAATTATTGCTTCGGTTTCCAGTTCAGTTCGTTGAAAAAGCTCCGTTCATTTTAAGATGGCTGAGAAAAAAGACATAGGATGGATGTATGAGGGGGTGAAGGCTGATGTCAATCGCG